TCTCACGCAGTGTTTGCTCTTGGTCTTGAATGGATCCTGGTTTTGAAGGAAGAAACTCACACTAATCTATCTTGGAGGTGACCTGGTTGGGTTGGTTCTGGCTGTTTGACCCACCAGGCTCTCCTGGCTGGAGGAAAGGGGCAGACCTGTATCTGGGGATGTGTCTGGGGGATGTACCGGCTCCCTGCTCAGTGCCTCTCATCAGGGTGTTCTGAGGAGAAAGCTGGAGGAGATGAGGGTTGGTCGGCGTCTTGGTTTCATGTTACTGGTGTGTTATTGACTTGGAGATGGCTCACGTGGGACTGCAGAGTCAACAGCACCTGTGGCTTTCACCAGACCTGTTTCACGGCGGCAGGATGAAGGCCAGGTGAGATAACAGCCCTGCAAAGCCTTGCTGTTCTCCTCCCTGGGCAGGGATCTCCTCCACTGTCTGGATCCACACGCTGCTCGGGTGGATGGACCAGGTATCACCAGGCTGGGAGCATCCAGTGAGGTGGGCTGCAGGTGCTTGGTGTGTGCCCAGGCTGGGACAGGCCACCATCTGCCCAGAGAAGCTGTGGCTGCCCCATCCCTGGCAGCGTTGAAGGGCAGGTTGGATGGGGCTTGGAGCAGCCTGGGCTGGTGGGAGGTGTTCCTGCCCATGCAGGGGGTTGGGACTGGATGGTCTTGAAAGTCCCTTTGAACCCAAACTATTCTGTGATTATCTATGATTCTACAACCCCCCAGCAAGGATCTGCTCCTAGAGACCCACCCAAGAGGTGTCCCTGCCTGACAATATCTGTCTGTAGAGCCCAGGGAAACCATGACTGGCCTTCTAAGACCTGAAGAAGGCCTACAGGAAAGATGGGGAGTGACTTTTCACCAGAGAGGGCAGTGACAGGGCAAGGGGTAATGGTTTTAAACCGAAAGAGGGGAGATTTAGGTCAGACATCGGAAGAAATTCTTCCCCATGAGGGTAGGAAGGCACTGGAACAGGTTGCCCAGGGAGGTTGTTGATGCCCCATCCCTGGAGGTGTTGAAGGGCAGGTTGGATGAGGCTTGTGCAGCCTGGTCTGGTGGGAGGTGTCCCTGCTCATAGCAGGGAGGTTGGACCTGATGAGCTTTAAGGTCCCTTCCAACCTGAACCTTTATTGCAGGCTGCCAGGGTGACTGCCTCATCCCTGCATTGTCCCCACTCCCCAGCTGGGCCCAAGCATGTCCCAGTGACCTTCATACACTCACCTGGCTTCATTAAGGCTTTTAATCACCATTCTGCCCTTACTGGTGTCCTACCTGCTCTGGGGAGCAGACTTGGAGTCTCCAGGCAGCCTGTGGGCAAACCGAGCTCTGGCTGCAGCCAAGCAGGTTTGTCACCAGTGACCAAAAGCCAGGACAGCCTCCCAGAAGACAAATCCTTTCCCCGTGTGTTCCTGGGGTGTCTGGCAGTGCCATGTCACCCTCCTCTCCAGAGATGGCAGCACGTGTCCAGATCCTGAGCACGGGTGCTGCAAAGAGGGGGGGGGCTGCCACTCATTGCACCCCAACTCGCTCCCTTTGGGCAACCTGCTTTTGGATGCCCAGACACCTACAGTTGGAGGGTTGGGGGGGGAGGGGGGGACTTCAGGAGTCACAGTGAAGCTCAGAGCCCTGCTCCTGAGCTCGGGGAAAACCTGAACATCGAATGAGAACGGAGGAAAAATGAAATCAAATAATAATAATTTAAATAAATAAATAAATAAAAGCCCTGCAACATGTGGTTTGGTTGTAAGTGTTGCTAAAGAGGAACTGAAAAAACAAAACCACCAAAAAAGCCCAGAGGTTCAGGGCTCTCTCCAGCCCAACCCTAAGGAGGTGGGAGCTGCTGTGTGAGCCCTTCCCGCTCTCGCATCCTCCTGGCGCTGCTCCCTCGCTCCCTGCTGGGCTGCTCCTGTGCCAGCTGCCCCCACAGGGACACATCAAACGCTTAATGGAGGCACTAAACAGACACTGCTTGGCTGTGGCTCACACCAACCGAGCTCTTTTAAGAGCTGATGTGCCAGGGCCACTGCCTTGTCCCACGCTCACCGTGTCTTTTCTGTCCCCAGCGTCACTTCGCCCTCCATCCCGCTCCTTTCCTGGCAAGAAATTGAGCACAACTATATTTGCTCGTGAAAAATCCAGGCCCAGCTTCTCACCAGCTCATTTCCCAGCAAGTCGTTTAGAAAGAGCTCTCTCTCTCTCTCTCACACTCCTTTTTTTAAAAAATTTATTTCTTATTTGTATTTTTTATGGCCTGCATTTTTCCAGCCTCCCTGGCAGCAGGAAGGCTCGTGCCTGGGCAGGCAGCAGCTCAGGGCTTGCTGAGCCCTCAGGGCTGGAAGACACAACCAGCCAGGGAAAGGGTTGATTTGTATCATTTTTTTTTAACCCCTGTACTCTTGGGTGCACCCAAATCTGGACCTGCCAAGTGGGTGTCCAGCCCTACTTTGGGGGGTGATGGTGCTGGCAGCACCCACGCTCCAGATAAAGAATGGGAGGATTTTGGAAGGAAATGGATGCCCTGCTTTGCTAAACACAAGGCAGATGGATTGATTTATTTTTTCATTTCAAAAGTTTGAAATCCACCCATGGGGTCCATCCCTCCAGGCACAGGAGGGCTGGTCACCCCAAGTTGGCCTTCAAAACCCACCAGGGATGGAGCAGGATTTTCCCCAGCCATAAGCAGCAAACTCCAGAGGTTGAGTCCTCCAGGCTGCAGGATTTATATGGAATTCCTGCAGCTTTTCCTGCAGGCCTGGAGTTATTTTTTTTTTCTCCAAGTGGGCCAACTCTGGAAATCTTCTCTTAGGGAAAACAATGCCAACGACCCTTGGAAGAACATATGGTCCTTGTTTGAGGCAAGACACCCGAGATAAACATGGAAGCAACAGGAAGAAAACAAACGCTTCCCAAGAAACAGACAGATTGTATCAAGTGCCATATTCCTGGTTTTGAGCTCAGAAGGGAGAGGAAAAAAAACAAACCCCAACCCAACCCAACCAGCAAAAAAACAACCAGCCCAGAAATGTCTCTATTATTGCAAAAATATCCCCTGGGAGGCGACTGTTGGATGAGAAACCTGAAGCCCCAAATGGGTTGTAAAAGGTCCATTAGCTGCCAGGAAAACGAGCTCCCAAAGATGCCAAACTGAGCTGTGACACAAAACACCAGGAAGGATCAGAAGGCTGGAAAAAGCCTTGGAGCAACCACCCTAAGTGGTGCCTTCTGCTTGAAAAAGGTCTCCAGAGGAGCAGGCTGCAGCCTCCTGAAGCTGCTGGGATGGACTAGGACAAGAGTTTGGCCACAGCTTCAGTTTTGAACCTGATTTTTGCAGACCCCAGAGAGGGCTGAAGGTGACAGGTGCCACCCAGCCCTCAGGAAGCCACCAGGGTTGCTCCCACCATCCAGATGTGTCCACAGGATTCACTCAGTTCCATTTTTGAACCTGATTTTTGTGAACATCACGGAGAGCTGAAGGGGCCAGGGTGCCCATGGGAAGCCACCAGGGTTGCTCCCACCATCCAGATGTGTCCACACACTTTGCTGCTCAGCTAGATCAGGTCTGCAGAGCTGGGAGGGGGGTTGGAGGAGGTCTTGGGGTGTGTGTTTTTCCAGCCCATGAATCAGCTAAAACACCTTCCTCTCCATCTCACCCGTTGCCTTGGCCATGGGCGTGGGGAGGGCTGGGGCTGTGGGACCTCTGCCACCTCTGGGGTGGCTGCACGTCCCCCCCACCAGGCTGAAGGAGCCTTTGAGCTGTGTAAGGAAGGAAACCAAAGTGAGGGATAGGGGAGGCCTGTCGGAAATGCAGGTGCTGTCACAAACCACAGCCCAGCCAGCTCTGGAGTTTGCCCCTAGACCGTATTTCCTTGACGAGGTTCCTGTTGCAAAAGCAAGGTTTTAAAAACAAGAGCCCCAAAAAGTGCTTGTGGCAGCACAGCTGCCTGCTGTGCCCATGGAGCTGGGCAGGGCCACGTCGTTCCACGGAGTCACGGACTGGTTTGGGTTGGAAGGAACCTTGGAGATCATCTAGATCTTGGAGACCATGGGCAGGGACACCTCCCACCAGCCCAGGTTGCTCCAAGCCCCATCCAACCTGCCCTTCAACACTGCCAGGGATGGGGCAGCCACAGCTTCCCTGGGCAACCTGGGCCAGGGTCTCACCACCCTCACAGCAAAGAATTTCCTCCTACTAACCTAAATCTCCCCTCTTCCAATTTTAATCCATTCCCCCTGCTCCCACCCCTCCCTGCCCTTGTCCCAGGCCCCTCCCCAGCTTTCCTGGAGCCCCTTCAGGCAGGGAAGGCTGGTTTGGAGGCACCAGAGCCCCGGGTACCCCCGTGAGTCGGGCAGTCCCAGATCAGCACCGGTTCTTGCGGTGCCCCCTGGGGATCCCGGATCGGCACCACAGCAGCAGCCCCGGGGCTCCCCGAGCCACAGGG